TATACCTACCTGTAAGAGCTCGTGTTGATTTGAAGTCTTTTAGTATGTTAGGAAACAGGATTCCATAAGTCGAAGCACAACCGTAGATGAAAAGAGAAGAAGTCATCAGTAGAACACTCATGATCCACGACCAAGGGCCATCAATTCGCCTGAAACAAGTTTCTTGATAAGACTGGTCGCCTGGTTCATGCTCTAGTTTATCAAACATCACTGAAGATCTTGAAATGTTGTCGTTATGTTCTTTGCTTATCATGATAATGGGCTCTTTCATCAAAATTACGAACCATACTCTTCACAATTTGGTGCAAAGTTCAGAAGGATTTGTAAAACTCATGAATAATCAATGACACACAGTAGACATCACAACCGTGAAGAGTGTTGCAATATTTGATACAATCGGCTCCTTCGCATGCATTTCCGGTGTTTTGACACCGAAACGGATGCGAAGGAGACTATGGTATGGTTAGCTGTCCTGGTTTAGTTGTCCTGCTGTCCTGGGATCAAAGGTTTTCAACTGGGATCGGGATCAACGATTTTTTTCAACGATTCTCTAAGGGGATCAGGGATCAAAATGTACAGAGTTTTGGAATCGGGATCACGCTTCTCTTCTTTTGATCCGGATCAACAGCAAAAAAATATACCTCGTTACTAGCCTGCACAATAAAATATGTTCTGTTTACTTTCCTTGCGAAACAGCGTTACCTCTACTAAGGCTATCATTGAATTGAAATGGAGCTCCGCTATTAGGTGTTACCTAATTTTTATATTAGAGTTGTTTTTCGTTTCAATTGACTCAATTTATGTTAATTCTACATATGTACTTAAGTACTTGACGTTGATTTACAGTCTCTTTTCTACACTGTGATCACATCTCAAAATAAAATGTCAAGCAAAATCGTAAAGACTCAACATGAAGTGCCGTATTCAACATAATCAAAATACGTACAACAATGGACCCCCAAACATGCTCCGGTGGAAATCTAAAAAACGGGCCTCAAACTTCGTTAGAATCTGGTAATGACATCTCTGTCACCAAAGCCCACTGCCAAATGAATCATGCAAATCTTCTCGTTTCACACGTGTCGATGGACCATGGTATTGGATCGTTGTTGTTTTTCTGCTTTTTTGTATATTGTTCCAGTATGGTTGTACGTCGACTTATGGGATCCTTTTCCCAGACATTTTACGAGGGTTAAAATCGAGTGGCGCTCTAACGGGTAAGTCAACTGGAGTATATTTTGTACTAAATGGCGCAATATAGTGTAGATTTACAATAAAAAACTAAGGAATTCACATAATTCAGTACAATCACTATTTAGACTATTTAACTATCCTAAAGTTTTCATTGTTTTAATTTTGCACTCCTGCAAAATATAAAATTCGTGTATCAGGGATTATACGAGCCTAGAGCCTTCTGATCGACAGAAATTTCCATAAAAGCCTTTCAGCTCTCTTCATCCATTGCGACATGCAAATTGATATATATTTTCGATTCTAATTCATATAAAAGCCAATGTAGTAGTATTCAGTCTTGCTGTATACTTGTAATTAATGCCTGGTTTGACTTTTAATGTGTTTGCTGACTTAAAAAAATCAGATTCTGTTGCCGTGTTGGCGGAGGGGTGTTCTGTCATGCATAAATCTAGTTCAACTATAAACAATAACTATTTTAAACATATATATTCAGCAGTGAAAAAATCAAATCCGGTGAAAACATGACATTATGCATAAATCTAGTTCAACTATAAACAATAACTATTTTAAACATATATATTCAGCAGTGAAAAAATCAAATCCGGTGAAAACATGACATTATGCATAAATCTAGTTCAACTATAAACAATAACTATTTTAAACATATATATTCAGCAGTGAAAAAATCAAATCCGGTGAAAACATGACATTATGCATAAATCTAGTTCAACTATAAACAATAACTATTTTAAACATATATATTCAGCAGTGAAAAAATCAAATCCGGTGAAAACATGACATTATGCATAAATCTAGTTCAACTATAAACAATAACTATTTTAAACATATATATTCAGCAGTGAAAAAATCAAATCCGGTGAAAACATGACATTATGCATAAATCTAGTTCAACTATAAACAATAACTATTTTAAACATATATATTCAGCAGTGAAAAAATCAAATCCGGTGAAAACATGACATTATGCATAAATCTAGTTCAACTATAAACAATAACTATTTTAAACATATATATTCAGCAGTGAAAAAATCAAATCCGGTGAAAACATGACATTATGCATAAATCTAGTTCAACTATAAACAATAACTATTTTAAACATATATATTCAGCAGTGAAAAAATCAAATCCGGTGAAAACATGACATTATGCATAAATCTAGTTCAACTATAAACAATAACTATTTTAAACATATATATTCAGCAGTGAAAAAATCAAATCCGGTGAAAACATGACATTATGCATAAATCTAGTTCAACTATAAACAATAACTATTTTAAACATATATATTCAGCAGTGAAAAAATCAAATCCGGTGAAAACATGACATTATGCATAAAT